AAAACCCCAGTGTCCGTCCCCATGGCCCCAAAAACCCCAGTGTCCGTCCCCATGGCCCCAAAAACCCCAGTGTCCGTCCCCAGCGCCCCGAAACCCCAGTGTCCGTCCCCATGGCCCCAAAACCCTGAGCACAGGTCCCCAAAACCCCAGTGTCCGTCCCCATGGCCCCAAAAACCCCAATGTCCGTCCCCATGGCCCCAAAAACCCCCGTGCCTGTTCCCATGACCCCAAACCCCCCCATTCCCACCCCCAGGACCCCAAACCCCCCCTGCCCACCCCCAGCCGGCTCGGGGGGATCCCGGGGGGGCACCCGAGGGTGGCACCCCCAGACTCACCCTGGGGCCACCCACGCTGTCCCCAGCGCTCCACAGGGCCGGGACTGTCTCCGAGCCACGCGCGGCCACCCCGCCCGGTGCCACCCCCGGGGCTGCTGGTGACATCCCTGTCACCCCCGGGGCTGTGACACTCGCGGGGTGCCCGGTCCTCTGTCACATCCTCTGGGTGGCTCTCGGAGCGGGGGGTGGCACAGCCGGGTGACAGTGGCACAGAGGGTGACAGTGGCACAGAGGGTGACAGTGGCACGGAGGGTGACAGTGACACGGAGGGTGACAGTGACACGGAAGGCGTCCCCAAGTCCCCCGAGGGTGACAGTGACACGGAGGATGTCCCCAGGTCCCCACTGGCACTGCCAGGTGGCCGCGGGGCCAGGAGGACCCCCCGGGACCGGGATGTCCCCAAGGGCGAGTGGCGTTGCCACCCAGAGCCACCCTCAGGCTTGGGGCTGCTGGTGGCACCGAGGGGACCCCGAGTGACCCACGGGGACATCTGGGGGTGTCGCCGGCTCCCGGGGACCGGCCGGACCCTGGGGCTGGGTTTGGGGGAGCCCCGGGCGAGTGACAGAGCGCTCTGGGGGTGTCCCTTGTCCCCAAATCCCCTGCGACAGGAGCCAGACGAGCTCTGGGGGTGTCCCTTGTCCCCAAATCCCCTGCGACAGGAGCCAGACGAGCTCTGGGGGTGTCCCTTGTCCCCAAATCCCCGCAGGACGCCGGGCCCGGATTTGGGGTCGCTGCCACCCCCTGGGGACAGCCCGGGGAGGGTCCGGGTGTCACCCCAAGAGCCTCCGGTCCCTTCTCCATCCCCATCCCTGTCCCCTGGGGTGACACCGCGCCCCGAGGGGGAGGTGACAGCGACCCCGGGGGGTCTTGGGGACATCGGGAGCGTCTCGGGGAGCAGGGAGGGGGAGGAGGAGGAGGAGGAGGAGGAGGAAGGGGAGCGGAGCCGCGCTGCCGCCGCCCGCAGGCGCCTCCTGCTCCTGGGGGTGACGTGGCGGTCCCCAAGGCTGTCCCCGCCCCGAGGGGTGACACCGCCAGGACACCGCGGGGACCCCCCGAGGCTGCAGAGCCGGGCCAGGAGCCCCCCGAGATCCGAGGAGGACTCGGGGATTTGAGGGGCGGCTCCGGAGCCCTCCTGCCCCAAATCCTGCCCCAAATCCTTCCCCAAACCCAAATCCTGCCCCAAACCCAAATCCTGCCCCAAATCCTGCCCCAAACCCAAACCCTGCCCCAAATCCTGTCCCAAATCCTTCCCCAAACCCAAATCCTGTCCCAAACCCAAATCCTGCCCCAAATCCTGCCCCAAACCCAAATCCTGCCCCAAACCCTGCCCCAAATCCCGGGGCTGTGGGGCGGGGGCTGCACCCCCCGAGGGCTCCCCGGGCTGAGCCCCCTCGGCCTCCAGGGACTCCTGGGCGGTGACGAAGCTCTCGGTGCTGTCCCCAAATCCGCTGGTGTCCCCAAATCCGCTGGTGTCCCCAATTCCAGCGGTGTCCCCAAATCCAGCGGTGTCCCCAAATCCAGCGGGGTCCCCAAATCCAGCGGTGTCCCCAAATCCGCTGGTGTCCCCAATTCCAGCGGTGTCCCCAAATCCGCTGGTGTCCCCAATTCCAGCGGTGTCCCCAAATCCGCTGGTGTCCCCAATTCCAGCGGGGTCCCCAAATCCAGCGGGGTCCCCAAATCCAGCGGTGTCCCCAAATCCAGCGGGGTCCCCAATTCCAGCGATGTCCCCACCCCTCGGCTCTGTCACCTGCCCCTTGGGGACAGCCCCTCCCCATCCCCCGGCGGTGCCACCCGCGATGTCCCCCGAGCCCTGCGGTGCCACCGAGCAGCTGCGGGGCAGGGGGGACCTCGGGGACACCGCGCGTGTCCCCAAAACCCCGCCCTGGCGCCGCCTCGGGGACACCCCGGCAGCAAAACGGGGACAGGGGACAGGGGTGTCCCCAAGGCTGGGTTTGGGGGGACCTCGTGTCCTTGTCCCCAAAATGCGGCTCGGGGGTGGCTCCTGGGGCTGGTGCCGCTCCCAGAGCAGAGTGCTGGAGGCCAGGGGTGGCAGGGGGACAGCGGTGTCCCCTTGGGGACACTCCGGCCACAGCGAGGGGACACCGCTGTCCCCTTGGGGACACTCCGGCCACAGCGAGGGGACACCGCTGTCCCCCGGCTCATCCAGGAGGGACCTGCGGGTGCTGCTGAGGGGTCCGGCCTCGGGAATGTCCCCAAGGGCCACCCAGGAGTCGCTGCCATCCTCGGTCAGGAAGGACAGGGCCCCCCGGGGCCACCGCGGCTCTGGGGACACCTTGGGGACCTCACCCTGAGCGGGGCTCCGGCCCCTGTCCAGCGGCTCCTGCGGGGAGGGGACAGCGCTGTCACCGCTGCCAGGTGGCACCGCCGAGGGGTGGCACGGCCGCACCCGGGGCTGTCCCTGTCCCCATCCCGGGTGTCACTGTCCCTGTTCCGGGTGTCACTGTCCCTGTCCCCATCCCGGGTGTCACTGTCCCTGTTCCGGGGTGTCCCTGTCCCCATCCCGGGTGTCACTGTCCCTGTTCCGGGGTGTCACTGTCCCCATCACGGGGTGTCCTGTCCCTGTCCCCATTCCGGGTGTCCCTGTCCCCATCCCGAGTGTCCCTGTCCCTGTCCCCATCCCGGGGTGTCCCTGTCCCCATCCCGGGTGTCCCTGTCCCTGTTCCGGCTGTCCCTGTCCCTGTTCCGGGTGTCACTGTCCCTGTCCCTTTCCCGGCTGTCCCTGTCCCCATTCCGGGGTGTCCCTGTCCCTGTCCCCACCCCGGCTGTCGCTGTCCCCTCTCACCTGTGCCCGCAGCAGGATCCCGAGGCAGCGGTGACACCCCCGGGCCGCGTCCAGCGGTGGCAGCTCCCGGGCACAGCTGGGTGGTGGCACCGGGACAGGGTCACCCCCGGGGCCACCCCTGGGGACACTCGAGTGCCACCGGCACGGCTGGGGGACATCGCGTGGCCCCGGCCGGGACGCGGGGGTGGGGTCCCCTCCCGTGGGCCACCGGTGTCCCTCCCGGTCCTGGTGCCACCCCCGGTGCCACCCCCGGTTCCAGGGTCCCCTCGGTGTCCCCAAGGTCGCGTTGTGTCCCCCCCACGGTCCCGGTGTCCCCCGGTGTCCCCCGGTGTCCCTGTCCCGGTCCCGGTGTCCCCAATCCCGGAGTGTCCCCCGTGACCCCGCTGTCCCCTCCCGATATCCTTATCGCGATATCCCGATCCCGGTATCCGGGTATTTTGGTGTCCCGGTGTCCCTATCCCGATATCCCGATCCCGATATCCCAATGTCCCGGTGTCCCTATCGCGATATCCCGATCCCGATATCCCGATCCCGATATCCCGATCCCGATATCCCGATCCCGATATCGCGATATCGCGATATCCCGACCCCGCTTACGCTCCGCTCATCCCTCCCGTTCAAACGACCCCGCGCCGCCGCTGATTGGCTGAAAAGGAGCCAATGGGAGGCGGTCGGCGACGGCCACGCCCATGGCCGCGGATGACGTCAGACGCAGAGGGGCGTGGCCAAGATACCCAGCGCCCCCTGGTGGCCCGAGCTGGGATCGCCCAGTGCTCCCAGTGTGGCACTGCCCAGTGTCCCCAGTGTCCCCAAACCGGCACTGCCCAGTGTCCCCAGTGTCCCCAGTGTCCCCAAACCGGCACTGCCCAGTGTCCCCAGTGTCCCCAAACCGGCACTGCCCAGTGTCCCCAGTGTCCCCAGTGTCCCCAAACCGGCACTGCCCAGTGTCCCCAGTGCTCCCAGTGTCCCCAGTGTCCCCAAACCGGCACTGTCCAGTGTCCCCAGTGTCCCCAAACCGGCACTGCCCAGTGTCCCCAGTGTCATCAACTGGACCCCCACCCCTGTGACCTGGAGGTGACCCAGGACCAGGACAGGTGACCCAGAACCACAAGAAATGACCCAAAACGACTCAAAACAACGAAACCTCTTCATTTTCCCCATACACACCGCTCCGC